CTAAATGCATTAAAATAGTAACATGTTGAAATTTCTATGGAAAAAATGAATGAGGAAAAACATCTGGAAGCAAATCTGCTGAAAACAGAAAGTGCTGACCTTGACATTGGGTGTGTAGAGGTTCCTTAGAGAGACCAAAGCAGCAGAAAGACCATCAGTGCTACAGCTGATCCATAAAGCCTGAAGAACACTGGACGACACACCGGTCTTCTTACTCAGACCCTGCAAAAAAGCACACACATATACAGTACTACCAATGTTATATCATAAATATAAAAATGTATATTATATATGTATGCATTTGTATTATAATTTAAATACATAAATGCATATAGCCATAAATAAATAAATAAAAACAAACTCCATCTCTGCGACTGCTGTGAGTTCACTTACAACGTGCATTTAAAAATGCAATATGACATGCCAACCATCTTTTAGAAATCTGTAGCTGTTTTCAGCCAAGATAAAATCTCTTTGATTTAACGATTGAAAGCAAAAAATAAGGCAGCCAATAATTCTTAGTACCGTAAATTTATGTCGTAAAAATATTGTACATATTTATAGTACAATAGAATTACAGCTACATTTCTTTATTGATTTGATAAATGTGCATAATTTAAGTTAATATAAAATAATAATAATAATACTGATATAATTAATACAAATAATACAAGTATAAAATGTATTTGCATTATTATTATAAATATTTTATTTTATTAAATTATAAATGATTTGTTTTTAAATTATAATTGCTATTAAATTATAACTACTATATTAAATATGGTTGATGATCGGAAGGTGAACTGCTTTGTCATGATTATTCTCAATGGTGTTAATTATTGTGCTCCTGAATTGAACTGATAAACTTTGTTTTCTTTGTTATATTGTGGCACATTAATGCTATTATCTCAAAAAAATGGATTTCAACTGTGCTCCTAATTTTTCAACTGTTTTATTAATATTTGTAACTTTTTTAGCTGTACGCATAGATTTCTCCAGACAGACGCATCAGGTACCTTAAAAATGTGTGCTTTCAGGATGTGGTGTCCCAACTCCATCGTCTGCTGCCTGTTTAACTTTCCCTCTTGCCTTGACAACATGAAGGCCATCAGTGCATGTCCACTCCTGCAGAGAAACACATGCATTTATGAAGGAAGACGACGAGAAACAGCACTGAGACACAAAAGCTGCTGACTGCAGAAACACTCCTCCCTTCATATCATCTGCCTTTATTTTCTACTCACTCTTCATGTTCATCACACAGGATTTTTAGCAATTTAATCTAGCAATTATTCTCATTCATATCCTCGATGACAGCAGAAGGGTGAAGGGTGAATTGGAAAGGCCTGTAAGCTTTTAAAATATGAGACTCTTAACAAAAGTTG